TAACGTACGTTGGAAGGGGAGGACATTCTGTAGTATTAAAGTGATGAAACGGATGATATTCTCCGTGGTAGGAGACATAGTAATAGAATTGTCCAGAGGGGTAATGGTATCGGTGGTATGCACTGGAGCAACAGAAGCAGTCTTGGGGGTAGGCTTACCCTGACACTTAGAGGAGTATGTAGGATGATCCAGATGGCAAGTGTTGCAGAGGGGAGGAGAGCTTAAGCTGGAGCATTGGCGAAGGAGATGAGAACAAACTGGTTGGTTAGGGCATTTAGCAGTGGTATGTGAGTTGTACAATAGGCACCTCTCACAGTGCAGAGCCTGTGGGGCCGGTGAACGGGAAGCTTCAACCCGACGTCGTTGACGGAAAAGAAATGCTCCATTAGACAAGAGATAATCTATAGTGTCACTATTTTTAGCCAAAACACGAATCATGAAGGTAGGACCTGAGGGACTTTGAATGCGAATGACACGCTTGACGGATATATTTTCAAGTAGAAGTTCGGAAAGGATATCTTTTTCTGTTATGCCAGATTCCACACCATGGATGACACAAGAGAAAGCAGGTGTACGACGAGGAGGGGGTTGTTGTTTTAGGGCAGGAGAGCGAAGTTGAGTGAGCATGGTAGATTGACCCAGATTAAGCAGTCCCATTTTGTTACGTAGTATGTCACACAATTGGGGATTACCAGTTTTCACAATAATGCCATTTCTTGTTGGAATTAATTGATGAACGTCAGAACGAAGGCAGTATTTAGAGAGTTCGAAAAAGAGGGTCCTGGTAGAGAAATACGGGTGATCCATCCCCGAAAGTAGGAGCACAGTAATCTGAGGAGCTTCAGTAGTTTCCTTTGGTCCGAGCACTTCACCAGAATAGCTGGATCGAGTGAAGGCAGGAATCGACTGAGTAACAGTGGTAGCGGCAGACGAAGTAGAACCAGCAGGAGACAGGTGAGAAACAGTAGATGTAGTTGAAGCAGTGGACGACGATGAGGCAACGGCAACATACGACAGTCGCGGGACATCCCTAATAGTTGAAGAGCTATCCGAGTCCAAGCAGTCGGCCCAGGATGAAGAAACACCAAGGGTTGCAGGCTTCCGAGGGTCGGGAATAAGGTTTTGGATGAACACGACGAGGCGACTGACCCGGTTGATCCGACATAGTTGGGTGCTTAACAATTTGAGGCAACCCAGAATGCATGGACACAAATGAAAAGTAATAAGCAAGTAAGTAATAACTGTCAAAAACACTCACCAAAACGAACCGCATAACTCGAATAACAAGACGAACTGCAGAACTGATATCGAATCCGATCTTTTGAGTTTCGAAACAATTGTTCCAATATCCAATCTCCGAATCTTCTTTTTTTCCCCTGAAATATTAGACCAAACCAAGCCTTCATACTAGTGAGGTATCGAAAATCAAACTGGCGTATTTACGTGTCTTACACTCATTAAAAAGAAACCTATCATTCTATAGGTATTTGAAGAACTTGTAGCAATCCGCCACAATTTAATTCTTCGTATTGTTATCTGACACTGGGCAGCTTGTACATAATTGAATAATTAGAGTTGTTTAAACATTTGTTTAACAACAAGTTAAAGCTTGGAATGATCTATTCTTTCATTGAGGTGTGTGTCTGTGAGCCTGACTAGTTTCAGAGAATTCCACTCCTCATCAGTGACCCTGGACACTACCACCAATGAAATATCAGACCAAACCAAGCGTTCATACTAGT